GGCATGTGAAAGGCCTCTTGGGGCGACTTGGGGGCCTCTGGGGTAGTTTAAAAAACATCGTGTTTCGCTGAGACCCCTGGACGGCGTTTTGGGGGTGTCTCGGAACCGTTTGGGACCGCTGGGATTGCTGTTTGAGGCCTCCCCCGCGCGATTTTAAGTTTCCCAGAGGCGGGCCTGGGCCCCGGTTTCCACATTTGTGGACGAGGTTCCGGCCCTCGGCCCCCGAGCCCGGCGCGCCGCTACATGTATACACACACGCGCACACAGTCAAGACAAAGGGAACCCAAACAAACAAGATACCTGATACTGAAAGTTGAAAACGTGCAAGTGGCCACAACGTGACAACAGGACGCAAACACACACCCGAAAAATTAAGAGGAGGACTCAGAAAACCTCAACTCTAAACCCTGCTTCGCACATGCGCGACAACGGCGGCACGCCTTGACGACGCCGCGTGCTGTAGGCGTGCGCTCGGGGGCCTGCGAGGTACCGGGAGGGGCCTTCTGGTTTCTGACACCGCCGTCGCTGCTCTGTCCAGGAGCGGCGCGGACAGCGGCAAACACGAGAAAGACGGGGGTTCCCCCAGAGCCCTGGTGAGGCTTAGGAAGCCTACTGGTTTCTGACCCCGCCAACTCTACCAATATCGGCCCGCTGGTTTCTGACACCGCCAGGGCCTCCCGCGCCCCAGAGCACGCTACCAAGCGAACAGACATTAACCTCCGGCACGTCACAACTGAGAGCGCAGCGGAACGCCGCGATCACGGGCGCGAAGCTACAAGTTCGGCCCGCCGGTCTTTGACACCGCCATTGCTGCCAGGTTCAGGGGTGCCACGGAACGCGGCAAGAACGGGAGAAAGGGATGTTTCCTCTGAGCCCTGGCGAGGCCCAGGGGAGGCCCGCTGGGTTCTGTTTCCGCCAACGCCACCAAGTTCGGCCCAATGGTTTCCGACGCCGCCATTGCTGTCAGGTCTGGGAGATATGGAAATTCCATCAATGCCCTGGCGAGGCTCGGGGGAGGCCCGCCGGTTTCTGCCACCGCCATCGCTGCCACGATCCGAGCCACGTCCTCCCCCAAGGAGGCGCGGGACAACAGTAGTGAAAGAAAAGAAAAAGCACCCTGACCTCGGCCGGGCCCACGCGGGCGCGACGTCGGCGAGGGGGCGCCGAAAGGAACGGGACCCCCCGAGCGCCCCTCCTCTCCCCCCCCCTGCCCCCCAACAGCGCCACGAAGTGTGGCAGCGGACAGAGAAACTTAGCGACCCCGAACGTCGGGCCCACGCGGGCGCAACGCGTGGGGTTCGCCTGAGAGAGAGAATAACCGCGTAGGTCCTAGAGAAACGGCCGTCGATTCCTCGGGAGCCGTTGTTCCGTGGGCCTCCCCCACCTCCTCCCCCTCCTCGTCCTCCACATCGCCCACCACCTCCTGCACCTCCTCTCTCCTCGACGCCCTCCTGGACGCCCTCCTCGACACCCTCCACCGTCAAATCCGCCGGGCACCCGGGCTGGTCACGACGGCGCTGTCGGGGTTCCGCAGATGCTGGCGTCGACGCTCTCGGCAGCGCCGTCGAAGATGCAGGCGTCGCCAGAGCAGCGTCGCGCGCGTCGTCCTCCCCGCCAGCTGCGACGGCCTCCCCCACGTCCTGGCCCAAGCCCTTCGCCGCGCCCTCCTCATCCTCCTCAACCACGCGCGCGTCGGCGCCCGCCGCGACGTCGGCGGCCGCGACCTCGGTGGCCAGCGCCAGCCTGACCGCGGCCAGCCGAAGGCCTGCGCGGGCAGCAGCGGCGGCGGCCGCCGCGCAGGCGCCCGCGGCGGCGGCGGCGACCGCGCCTGGAACGCCGGCGGCGCCGACAGCGCCAGCGCCGGCGGCGTCGGCAGCGTCAGCGGCGCCAGCGGCGCAGGGCCAGGCCGCGGGCCGCGCCAACGCTTCCGAAGGCGTCGGCGGCGCCAGCGCTTCCAGCCGAGGCGGGCGGCCAAGCCGCGCTGGCCGCGCCGACCGCCCACGGGGCGTCGGCGGCACTGGCAGCGGCGGCCGAGGGGGCGCCGGCCGCGCCGGCGGCGCCAGCAGGACGGCGCTCTCGAGCCGCACCGACATGCCCGGGGGCGTCGGCAGCACCCGGGGCGCCCGCGGGGGCGAGAGGGCGAGCAGCCCAGCCCGCGCCGACCGCTCAGGGGGCGTCGGCAGCGAAGGTCGAGGCGGCGGCGCCAGCAGCGCAGGAAGCGCTCGCAGCAGCAAGCGCGCCGCCGAGAGGGGCGGCGCTTGTCGCGCCAGCAGCACAAGCATTGCCAGCGGCGCCATAGCGCCCCAGAGGGCCCGCGACGACCAGGGCGCAGGCGGCGGCGGCAGTCAAGCGGCGACCAGCAGCGGCACGGGCCTGCCGCCGTCGCCGCGCCGCCGCGGTCTCCATCATGCCACGGCCGGAGCACTGCACCTGGCCAGGGGCGTGCTCGAGTCAAGACGGCTTGAGCCAGAGGCTTGAGTCAGAAGGCTACGGACACACA